ATCAGCTTTGTGTGTGTGATACAAATATATAGATAATCTCCATTGCAGTTTATCGTATCATGGGGGACACAAGTACGCATCAATTTTCAAGGGAAAATCATTACTGAAAATGAGTAATTAACAATAGTAATTTTATTAATTTATTTAATATTCAAAAATCGTTTCAGGAACCGTTCTATAACTCTTAAAATTTTTAGCTGCAAATTCTGCCTGTCGTCTCTTCCTATAAAATTCCATAAATTGTTTGGACCTTATTGCATATTTTCGTATTGTCTGTAGAGAAATAGAATCGAATGCAGATGGAAAAGTTTCTTTAAACCGTTCCAAGTGTAATCGCAAGCTCACACGATATTGTTGAGTGCGTTTGACCACTCTTATAATTAAAGACAAAAAATTTTCGTTATAAGGATTTATCCAATAGCAATGTAATACAGAATGTCCTTTTCTGTCAAAATCTTAAGAAATGTACCAGATTTAATGTAAATTTTACCAGAAAAGGCTGTTTCAAATTTCCGCTCACTATATAGATTAACCAAATTTTAAACGTAAATTTTAACGTTTATCAACTTAAATTTTGAATTATTAATACAGTAATGCTTGTATTACTATTAGATTTTTGTTTGATGCGTACTTGTGTCCCCACCATACTGACTAGAAAACTCGATGCTTATATAGGGTTAGCCATTTTAATCTATGTCAATATCCTTGTGTGCATTGAAGGATATTTTAATAAAAAGAATAGTATTTCATTGTGAGCCAATCATAATAGCATTATGTTTGGCGAAAATAAAGTCACAGTAAGCCCATTCCAATTTGTGCCGATCCCTGATTGGCGTATTAAAAATCACATGATAATGATGGGAACAACAAATTTGCAGTTCCATCCTCATCCCACAACGTTTTATTGATAAGCGTAAAAAAATAAAAGGTTGTGTGCAAAAAGGGGTCCTAATGGCTTTTAGAAAAATATATATATTTTTTGTAAAGATAACACTTGAAATCTTGGAATGAAAAAAAAAACAAAAACGACGGAACGAGGAACGCGAAACTTCTCACTGATTAATTGATTGGTTGATACAATTTTGCCGTCGAACAGGCCTAATGTTGTGCGCAACAAACGATTGTCAGCACGGATTACAAAAAAGCTGCTAGAAGACAAAGTCTTTTAAATATCAAAAAATGTTTGTCTAAGGCGAAAAAAGAGGCCCGACACAAATTAAACTTGACAAAACAGCCAGGTATCGGAAGATAACAAAAGTTTATCAACTTTGGAAATAAAATTAATATATCAGAATTCAAGTTAAAATTAACATATGTTAAGGTAAAATTCGAACAAAATTAGAGAATTAATAATGCTTGAGCACAAGTTTCATTAGTAATAATAAATGCTTAATTCCAGAAAAAAATCTAGCAATAAACTCGGCTTTATATTATAAAAATTTCACACTTATTCCCCACAGTTAGCTCCACGTTTGCATATATCAATTTCCAACACTCGGAAAGACTTTATTCTTCAACCATAAAACAATTTTGGTATACTTTTTCTGTGAAATTTAAATTATTGATTATGTGTATTCGAACTTGATTGTAAACGAATTGACAACGAAAGCTAGAATTGGGCAAAATAAATTTTTGATAGTTTAAAAACAACCGTAAGCGTCGCGGAATAACAATTGTTATATTGTTGCATAACATGTGCGCGATCGAAAAACTTTGTTTTTGCTACACGCTGTATTTAAACAGACAAACTGAGCTTTGCCACCAAGTGTTTTGTAATTACAGTCAAAACGCGCATGTACAAAGTACGCATACATTATATGGTTAACTGTCTGCCGACATGACACTAAATTTAAGATTTCTAATAACGCTAACAATATTGTCGAATAAGTTTTTATGCTATAATAGATTTTAATATCAACACACACGTAAATACCGTAATAACTATAGCAAAACCTGTCATACTAATGCCGAGGTTTGTTACTGTTGCAAGTAATACAAATTTACCTCACTCACTCTTTTTTTTTCTTTGAAATAAAAGCCTGTGGTCACAACCTTATACAATCCCTCTCTCAAGTTTTTACATTATTATTAATCCGTTTTGTCTTGGGAGAATCATACTTTTACTCATGTAGTAGCTCCTAACACCGACTTGGTCGTATACCTTCCTTTTTCATCATCACTACATAAACGCGCAATAGTCTACCAGTTTTCCATGTGTCCATACTCTCCCGCATATTATTTTTTCTTACTGTATAAAAAAGACTATGGAATTACAAGATCAAAGGAGCCTATAAACTGCTATGCAAATGCGCGCCCGTTGCTAAAATTACGTAATTAATTACCTTGACTGTCGACTCGTGACATAATGATTTAGTCGCGCAACAGAAATGTAGGCCCAAAGCCGTAATTTAATTACCAATACAATAAACTTGTGTTCATAATTAATCATAACAAAGCCAAAAGTCTGCTGGCTAACTAAAATCATATTTAAAGGACCGTTGACAACTTGGTTTGACGTCTGATATGATGCCATGATAAATTAAAGTACATAAGTAATTAACCCCTCGTGACTTGAGATTGGAATGAGCAAATGTTTTGAAATTTCATTGCTGATCACCTGTAAAACCAAACTACAGTCATTTCGACAGAAACTTCAAATTCACATTTGCTGTCAAATTTATCTCTACATGCTTTTGGGTTGTTGGTTAGATTAAAAGAAAATAAGTATTATATTTGGCAACAATAATGCGCATGATATCAATCAGTCTCATTATGAAACGTGCACGTGTTATGATATATCGAGTAGTAAATATTTGACATTTAAAATTTTTAATCGAGCTCAATTATGGAGGTCAATACTTGTTGCGCGTTTGCTTATATTTGGTCTGCAAAGTTGTAAGGTGCATTTTGTGACTTATGAGCTGTTGATATTAACATAACTTTTATTTTGAACAAAATTGTGAAAATTTTGCTTACATTAAACGTCCTATAGTGAAAGACTGTAAAGTCACCGGCGCGTTTATTATCTAAAATAAAATTAAGTAAATTGGAAGTACGATATCTATAGAGATACCCCATTGTAGTCTTGTCTCCAGACCTGTCGCAATTCAACACAACTCCACCTGGTGATAACGCTTTTTCTTTTCTATTGTACACCGTTCACGTCATGTCTGAATTAAGAAAAGAAATGAGTGAAATACAGTAAGCTTGTGTCTACGTAAGTTTGGGTAAGCAAAGTTCCCTCCGTGTTCGCTGTCTAAATTGTGTCATCGACCTGTTGTTAGTACATAAACATGTTTCTCTCAATGACATACAAATGATCGTGATAACATGGATGGTTAAATTCGAACAAGCACGACTATAAATTTAATTACGTAACTAGCATGCTCCAGCGTATATAGTACCTGGATATTTTACGCAGAAACCGCCTTTTTATTTACGCATATACATGCGTTTTTACTTCGCAAGAGACCAAGTTTATTCAGAGTAAAAATAACAAGTATTATTAGAGACAAGTATTCCTTTGTATTACATTATTACATTGTTGTTAATAATAAAAGTTCAAAAGAGAATGCAGTATAGAGTTCTTTATCGCAGCAAGCGTTTAATTGTCTGTTCTATATAAAAACGCGATTGCTCCATCCTAAATGAATTACTAACAATCGATGTTTGGCTCGCGTGCTTAAAGTAAGAGGTGCGAACATGGCTAATCGTATATATGTTCTGGCCGTTTGTGTTACATCGTAATTGATGACGTTACTAGAGACAACAAAATTCCTTCAATGTCTTCATCCAGACTAAGGACACTAACAAAATGCGTCCGATATAGTAAACGAATTCACAAATATCAAAGTTTCGCGTCACCAAAGAAAAGATTTATCTTATCGAGCATCCGTCCCTCGCAGGATCTATCTCACAATCAATGGACCCCACCTACATCATCGATAATAGCGCCGCTTGCCATTTCCTCTTTGACAGAGACTAACGCGGACGTGCAACCGTTGAATAAGTCACTTGATCCATCACTTGAAAATGTCGACTCTACAAACTTTATACTGTCAAGTAACCAAGCGTTATTAGAATTCATTCATAGTCAATTAGACATTCCATGGTGGTTGGTTATAGTTCTCACGACATTAGCTCTACGAACTTGTTTCACTCTTCCGATTGCAATTTATCAACTAAAAAGTACGGCCCGACTCGTGGCAATTCAACCACTGATCAGTTCGTGGAGAGAAACGTTAAAGAAAGTGATTGCAAACGATTCGCGCGTTAAAGGGTTAAGCTATGATGCTTACCAGGCCGTGCTCAGAAAAGAGGTATTTAAACGGTCTAGCTATGAAGTTTTGTTCTTTTTCGTCGTTAATCGGGTATCATACTTTTTTTTTTTTTTTTCGTTTAGATTGCCAAAAAGGTGAC